TTAGAGTCAATGAAGGTTCCCAGATACTTATACTCCGACACTGTGTCAACACATTCACCGTTGATTATCACTGGAAGCATTTCTGTGGGTTTACTCCGAGAGTCAGTTATCAGTTCCAGTGGTTTTCTGCACACAAATCGTAAAATGATTAATGTCCTCTTTACACAGTTCTTCAGAATCAGTGTCGTTCAGTTTGCCGACAATTGCTGCATCATCTGCGAACTTTACAGTTGAACAGGTTGAATTCGAGCTTGCACAATCATTAGTGTAGAGGGTGAAAAGAACAGGAGATATTACACAGCCTTGTGGTGCACCAGTGTTGGTGGTCCGTTTACTCGATACAGCCCTGTTAACTTTCACGTACTGCTGTCTGTCCACAAGAAAGTTTTCGATCCACTTGATGAGGTATGAGTTAACGCCCATGTCTAACAGTTTCTGTATCATGATATGTGGCTGGATAGTGTTGAACGCAGATGAAAAGTCAACGAAGAGGATCCTGATGTATGACTTAGGTGTACATAAGATAAGATAAGAGGTTGTGAAAACGTATCGACTACTAACAGTTCATAAGTTTATTTTTCTGTTGTTTAACGCCGCACTCAGCAATATCCGAGCCATATGGCGGCGGTATGTAAATAATCGAGTCTGGACCAGACAATCCAGTGATCAACAACATGTGCATCGATCTACACAATTGGGATAGGATTACTCGTGTCAAAAAGTCAGCGACCCTGACCACATCCACGCGATCCCGTTAGTCGCCTCTCACGACAAGCATGGGTTGCTAAAGACCAATTCTAACCAGGATCTTCACGGGTTTCATACGAAATATGTTGATACGTATCATTATGTAGGTGAAGGAAAGACTAATTAACATTTAAAAGCGTTTCATGAAACTTTCATAGTAGGATCACACTGTAGGTTTGAATATGTACATTCAATGCACTAATCAACAAGGTATCTTGATTAGCGTTCTGAATTAAGGGGATAAAACTATTAAAAGTATGATGTGTAGGAGTGGGATATCTCCATTAAAACGTCCGCTTTTACAGGCAGTCACACTCATGTCGCTATATTAGCGCAATAATCAAAGCAATGTTTATCTCCATTTCACCTCAGTTTAATATATACTATTCACACTTTGCTAAGGATCAAATCATGGATTCAACAGAAAACTATGATGTGGGAACAAATTCGGTTTAAATATCTACAATAGTAAGCTTATTGTAAGCATGGATCCTAGTTTTCAGTATGTCACTGCACCTTGTGGATCCCATACCTGCTATTGACAGGTGTTGTTAATTTCTCAATGACCCGTTCCATGATTTGCAAAATGGTTGATTGGTGCATGAAAACCACTTTTATAGTTACTCATGTATCAAGTGCTTAAGGTTAGATTAAAGTGACTGTTTGCCTAAAGAGGGGTTACCATATTATTATTTACCCAGTTTTAAATGTATACAATTTCAAATTATAAATCTACGTTTAAATAAAGTTGTGAATATTTTGTGATCCTTAACAAAGTGTGAGTAGGTTCATGTGCATAGTTTCAAACCTAAAGGTCTGCTTCATGTGCAGTGATCTTGAGTAGTATAGTTCTAAATGATTCATGCGGATGATTTTTACCAGTTTTGATAGCCATAAGAGGGATATAATGCTAACAAATCGTAACCAAGTAAATCGCCAATAAATAGGGTGATCACCGGATCCTGACACATCCACTGGAAGCAACTCCGGCACTGAGCGAACCGTGCACCCTGTATCCTTTCAATGAGTCACACCGGTATGATACTTAGTTTGATGTACCCAAACAGAAGTATTTACAGGTGGTAATAATAAACGGCTGTACCATGTAAGGAAGGATACAATCAGGTGATGGTTCAAACCTGGAGATTACCTGGGACTGGGATTACCTTTCGCAGAAATTATATTATCATTCTTGTAAACGAGTGATCGATTTTAACACTTACCAAACCCGCATTGGAATTATTGCATGTATTCATGGCTATCGTTCACAGAAGAGATACATGAAACACTTATGATAACCAAGAATCCTAATATTATTATCGTTAATGCTTTGCCACATTCACGTTTAGCTGCTTAATATCAGTACCGTTTAATACCCCCGTGAAGTTGTATAAATATCAGGAAAACGCTAAACTTTTCCCAGCTTCAGATGGGATGCCATTAATATGATAACTATTGACAATTTAACCCGGCATATTAGAATAATGAACGTTGCACGTTAGTTCAATGTCTAATTAGGTCATGGCAACGTCACAAACAATAAAAAATGATAGGACATGGGGCCGGAAGCGGCACTAAATATGGTTTCTTTATTGACACGGAACTGAACATTGGACCAGACATAAACTGACAGAGGAAGGTAGGGTAGTCCAGTGGGTAAATCGTTCGCTCATCACACCGATCGTCCGGGTTCGATTCCCCACATGGTAACAATGTGTGAAGCCCATTTCTGGTGTCCCCAGCCATGATATTGCCAGAATATTGCTAAATTCGGTGGTAACTTTAACTCAGTTACTCACTCATGTTGGAGCAAGACGTAGAACTAAAACGTCTTGATAAAACAACAAAATAGTGACGTTGTTATCGATGAAACGTTTCATATCTTCACGTAAAGGAGTATGTTTAATACAGCAGTCGTCATAACGAAGCCTCCCTGGGTGTCTGTGTTATGTCAGCATTAACAGCTCGGCATCCTCATCGTCAATGCAGGATTAAACGTCATCCAGTTTTGATTGATGAAACGTGCCAACCCTATTTTATACTGCGCGGCCTTAATTCCAGCTGAACGATGGTCAACCCACGTTATACATACGTCCTCCAAATACACCGTCCTGCAATAATTAATTGCAAAACGCATATACCATAATGATATATCTGTATATTTCGAGATAAGAAATATGATAATATTACTCCCTTTTAAGAACCTTGACGTGTGTCGTAGATCCATGTATGGTATAACCAGTGTTTAACCTTATACAGATATAAACCTGAGATAGAAGTGGAGTTGTGTCTTTTATTGTACACGCCAATGAAACGCTAAATTTATTGCGCTGCTGGGAAGGAATTGTGTCGTTCCTGCTCCGTTTCAGCGCTTGGAGATTACGGCTGATGAGGTTGACCTTTATCCAAGGAAACATTGGATGAATTTAACGTATTAGCGTCAGACTATGCGAACAGTTTTAGTCCTTTTATAAGGATATAATGTCAAGATTTTATTTGACAAATGGTCATGCAATTCCACGAATAGAGTCCCGAGTTAATCCGAACATAAATCGAATTTCAGCGTCTTATCTCTATCACTTGTTTCACATATTTGCAAAGACAGCTGTTTATGGAGTTGTGTCGTGGTTGGCCAAATGCTAAGAAACCAAGAGAGGGATTTTAAGAAGAGCTTTTTTTTATAAATGTATAAAAAGGCTGAAATGTGAATACAAGTATGAACAAATTGGCATGTGTCTAGTTACTAACAGCGTCACGACATGACATCTTTTAGCTCCCATGGTATACGTAGTATACCAGTATTCACTGACAAATAACAATTTCTTCATATATATCTAATCAATTCCGTTTCTACGAATTCCGCATATATACAGCCGCGATGGATGTGTTCTTAAAGTCAAATCAAATGACAGGGTCATGGAGAGTCATCAATCTAGAGCTGTCGTTTCGTGAGATGTTACTTCAATTCATGTCTCTAAAATTATTTTTGAACATCAGTCTTCATTGATGACTTTCGTACGGACGTCAACCAATCGGATTTTCAGCTAACGAGAAAGAATGGGTTCTTTTTAAAGAGTAATGTGAAATTGATATTTTCCGATTTCGTTATGAAAGCACAGACAGTAAATCAGATTATCTGACGTTATATTGCAGTCTCGCGGGCGCACTGTGGCTGATTGAGCGGAGAATTTAATCACTCCTCTTCAGTTATACGTCCTTCGCCAGGAAAGGACAATCGTTAGACTACCATTGAAATTCAATTAATCACACACTGACAATAAGTTTGCACTGAATAAAAACATACTTGTCAGAAAGCCGTTTAACGAGGACGGGACAATAGAAACTGTAAATACTTTAACTGCTGTTGGGTGTTGAGTGAATGTGGTTTTACGTCGCCTCTAGCAATGTTCCAGCAATATGACTGCTGGGGACACCAGAAATGTGCTTCAGTCAATGAACCCATGCTGGGACTCGAACGCGTTACAGACCAGGCTACATCACCACCCTTTACAGACATAACCTCTTTTATAGGTTGTTTCCCCCCACCTAACCTAAAAGTGAAGGAGGCCACAGAAACCGGCTCATTAAGATACATCCTTAAAGATTCCGAGTGACAAAAGTTGGGTAGATATCCTAACGACACACATTGATATCGGAGGTACTGTCGACTTGTACCATCTTGCCGATTTTAAGATAAGTAATTACCATTGTATGTATCTGATGCCACCCGTGGAGATGGATACGGAAGAGTGTCTAAAATACAACAGTAGAGACATGTTTTGGTATGTTCTTCACACACACTCGACTTTTGAAATCATAATGTTATAACACTACCTCATAAAGTGTTTTTTTCTGTACTTGATCACGAAACATTGATTTGTATGTCAACAAGATAATTCAATTTGTAAGTCATTTGTAAATTGTTCTGTTGTTTTTTAAAATAATAATTGTGCAACATATACCTGTCCACAATACACAGTAACTTTATTATTGATATCGTTCAGCTGGATGGAATAGTTCTAAACAATTAATATCGTCACTAATTGATAGCAACTGATAGACTCGTCTCATAGACTCTTTTTATCTGCGATTTCTTATGACTGTGGAAAAGTTTCCAACGACGTTTTGCATTGAAACACCAACTCTCTTCAAGACTAGCTAATGTGAATGAAAGCTCCTGAGAGTCGTCTTTGTGTTTTGACACTACCAGAAACAATGTCATTGACGCAATGGTGATGCCTGATTCTTTTCAGAATTTAAAGAGGCGTTTTCTCTGTTTGACAAAGACGGGGATGGCACTATATCCCACAAGGAGCTCGGTGTTGTCATGCGGTCACTGGGCCAGAACCCCACAGAAGAGGAGCTGCAGGAGATGATCAATGAGGTGGATGCTGATGGTAGGAATTTCAATCAGTTCAATTTCTATTTAATGTGGCACCTGTTCAGTTGTCTAAGGTGCCACAGCACCTTGTGCAGAGTTGCATCAAATAAGCATGTCAGAAATTTGTCTTATTAATATGGCACATACTCAGCTCTCCTTGTTGCAACAGAGTTGCATCAAATAAACATGTCAGACTTCTATCCATCTCATTAATGAAGCATCTGCTAAGTTGTCTGAAGGTGCCACGATGCATTGTGCATTGTTGCGTCAAATTAATATGCCCAAATCAATCTGTCTAATAACGTAGCATCTGCTCAATTGTCTTTGGTGCCACAATACATTTTACAGAGTAAAATAAGCACGTCAGAAATCTTTCGTAGGTTCGAGTCCGAGGTGTGTTCTGATTACGTTTCTTAGCTCATCAGCACTATTACCCTTCCCGTATAGGTTTCACTAATTTAGGCTGTCCCCTGACATATCAAGCTGACCCTGCGCTGTGATATGACTAAAGCACACTCCAGTTAAGGTCGACACATTAAAATTGGTATCGACATATTTGTAGCTCGTATCATGGGTGAATCTGAAAAATTGTCTGTGTGCATTTTAGTGCAACTGATAACAATGTGCTTGAGTAAACAATGACTTGTTAAAATGCCGACCCGTTCAAGCTGACAAATGAATCACCTTCGAAGACTCTACGTACATCATAGAAAGTAATTATTATCTTTATCAATAATACAGCAATTTAAGGTGGAGGAATATTTGTGATTTTGTTTTCGTTGTTGGTGGTGTAAATTAATTTTCAACATCAGTCACAGACATGGGTCCACAAGCCTCTGCAAAGTTATGGATGCTGGTGTGCCTGGATCTCTCAAATGTTCATCACAGCAGAAATGACAATATCATTTGCATAATGTCAGACAGTTCCTTCTTTAAGGGTGAAAATACGAGAAAATCTGACGGTACCAAATCTGGTGAATACAGAGGTTGTTCATAAACACATGCTCATGCTGAAGTCGGATATAGTTTATTTGTACAATCGACTCTTTTAGAACTGATTTATCATGGATATCGGAAGGTTTTGTCACTTTTACTTCATTGAGTTCATTGGTAGCAATGGCGATAAGATACTTGTGCACAGGTTGTCTGTCCTTGTTGAACGCTACATCTATTGAGATATTGGCACAAATCTGACCTTTCGAGAGGTAGTGGACCTGTGACATTCCTTTGGAAAGGAAACAAATCTCACCTTAGCAACTGCTGGGAGACACTTTGAGGAGACATAAGATGTTTCTATTACTTTGACTGCAGTTCCATTGTTTCTGGCTAAAGGGCGAAACCAAGAATCAAGGAATGAGAGATCAAGCGCCTGGAGGTTTTGGAACCGAGTGTGCTGGAATCTTTGTCATTGTTCATTCAACCGAATATCCCCATCTCTTTCATGAGAGATGCCTATTGTATTGGTTATATGGCCATCGACGTTGTATATGAGTTGTATATCAGCCATCAGCATCAGCCAGCAGCACATTACGTACGGTATCAACATTGTCTTTTGCGGTGGTGTTTGAAGGTCTTTGATCAACATCGAGGGTCACTCTTCCCCTCTTGAATCCCGCTGCAGAAGTCTTTACAGTGGCAAAGGAAGGCACATAACCCTATAGTAGACACCAAGCCCACATGGATGGCTATTGTTGTCAGCCCCTCCAGTTTGATGATAGCTTGGTAGCCAGTTTTCTTCCATTTTCATCAACAGAGAATACCAGTCACTTTCATGTCTGCAGAAATAAGCTGTCTACTTGTGGTTTGGGTCCAATGCAATTTGTGAGCATGGAAAGTATTTTAGTTCTTTATACATGTGCAATCCTCCGTAGTTCGACCCAGAACGTTTCAAACAGTCCTCGTATATATTTGGTTCAGTATATTTCCAAGCCCTCCTTATTGTCTTGAAATATCTCAGTTACAACATATAACCTGGGACTTAATAGTATTACCATAATACGTGTCCACAAAATATACATTTACAGGGGAGATGGTGAATAATGCGGTATATTTTAAGAGGATTGCTGAAAGCTTCTCAGACTGGTTGAGTGAGTTTTCATTTAATTAATGCACTACAGACGTACCCAGTTTGTGTCCTACGGCATCTTATAGTTTGGCATGAAATGCATGTAGACCCGGTTTTTTGTAAATATCTCTTCATCCAACGATCCAATCGATCTCAAACTGTGCAAGTGGATGTTTTGTCAGACAACCTAATCACATTGTAAATCACCGATTTTATGCATTTGTATTAAAGAATCTGTCTATGTAACTGTCAACAAAATAAACAGCAGAATGCAGAATGCTTGCAGAGGGAGGGAGCCAATGACCTGTAACAGCGGCAGTGTTGGGTCATAAAGGTCAATGCACGTGCAGTTCATGATAGTTACCTGTGCACTGCACAGTGATAGACCGTTTGGATCATTCACATTGACTACTTCTAGCTGTCATCATGAAAGCTTATTCAGATGATGCTTAACGTTTAATTAGAAATGTGTTGAATTTTTTTTTTAAAAAGAGAGCAAACGCAGCAAACCGCGCCGATTTATAAGGTGTCGGATTACATGAAACGTACAACTTTTGCTTTTGGCATGAAAAAGAACATCGTGCTAAAAATTGTGAAAAATAAACCAACAACCAATAAACAAAACCTTGTACAAAAAGGTAGGCATCCAAAGTTAGATTCTTTTGACATCAGGGTCATCAGAGATGTCATTCGCTGGCTATTTGCAAAATTTAAAGATGTTAACCTACAGAATAATTCTCACTAATGGGTTTTGTGGTTAATGTTGAACAACTCAGAGAAACAAACTCCGTATGATGGTTAACAGTGGTCACCCACCTTACCCTATTCACGACCTGTGACACCTCTTCATACCTGTCACGTGCATAGCTGACCTACATTGACGAACGTTGACCTTTATGACCCAACACTGCCGCTGTTACAGGTCATTGGCTCCCTCCCTCTGCAAGCATTCTGCCTTCTGCTGTTTATTTTGTTGACAGTTACATAGACAGATTCTTTAATACAAATGCATAAAATCGGTGATTTACAATGTGATTAGGTTGTCTGACAAAACATCCACTTGCACAGTTTGAGATCGATTGGGTCATTGGATGAAGAGATATTTACAAAAAAACGGGTCCACATGCATTTTAATTTCATGCCAAACTATAGGTGCTGGCGATCTAGTAGTAATCGAGTAGTAATATTTTAAGGTTAGATGATAGTCATAAATTATATATCTGTGATACTCTGGTTTATTTACTCTCCTTTAATGACAGGTGTTATATATTAGAATATGTACTAATGTTACAGTCACAATATGGCTGAAATATTGCCAACGTGACTTGAAAGTTTAATTCCCTCACTCCTTCACGTTGTTTAAGTCTCCAAATGGCGATACGAGTGAGACTCGTTCCTCTGTCAGCGCCCTCTCAGGTTGACATTGGCTTGACGTCATTTCGAGGTCGCCGATCTGACTATTTGTAAGGGCAACACCATCTGGCAGCTGGGCAGATGAGCTGCTTTTAGAATATTCCTGATCGCTTGACTCGTGATTCGTACTCCATTAGCCTAATGAAAGTTGCAGCAATTTGTTACGCCGTTGAGCTCGATTTTGCAGAGCCGGTTTTCGGATTAATCGATTATATACGTTTGTCTTTGACTAAATGTCGACCTTCCTTGAAAGCGTCAAAATCAGAAATGACACATACCTCAAGTACGTGTGTTGTGCTACTGCGTGCGGCACGTAGAAACTATCTGTTTATGTATTGGCGTTACGTATTCCGGACATAAACGTTCTCGCATCGGATTTTTGTCGTCAACAGATGTAATTCTAATACCTTGTATTATTAATGTCTATATTTCGTGATGTCCCATCTTTTTTTAATAGTATATGTTATTGGACTTGGATAGATCCATCATAGCTTATTCCCATTTCCTAAATCATAAATGTAGTTAGGAAAAAACACCCTTCCCGAGTGCACTGAATATGTGGGTGTCTTTGCTTTGATATTTGATTCAGATTAAAACTGTAGTCCATTAAATTGCATTCGTAAGCATTTTCCATGTGGAATATCAGATGCTGCTCTAAACTAATATTGGATGTTCTTTTTGTAAGTTTGACGTCATAAATAATGTCTTTTCCATTGGCAATCAGTTGAAACATGTTCAGTTAAATGTCATCGTCGTAAGTTGATCCGAATTATGTGCATAATAAACACTTTGTCAAATCTGCTGTCATTCCGTTAGAATTGTGTCACATTTGCCCGTGTAATCGGATGGGAAATCGCATGAAACCAAAACGTATCCTCTTCCCATCACATTTCCACAGGTAATGGCACCATCGACTTTGAGGAATTTCTCCAAATGATGGCGAAGAAGATGAAGGAGACAGATAATGATGAGGAGTTACGGGAGGCGTTCCGTGTGTTCGATCGAGATGGAAATGGTTTCATCAGCGCTGCTGAGTTGCGGCACGTCATGACAAATCTGGGAGAAAAGTTAACCGATGAAGAAGTTGATGAAATGATTAAAGAGGCTGACGTTGACGGCGATGGAATTATCAGCTTCGACGGTAACTGCATCCATTGTTATCATCTTCGACCCATACATAGTTCCATATTCACTGTTTGGTAATTCATGTCATTATTGACCAAAAGCGTGATCGTTATTTTCCACTCCCGCTGAGAGTGCCAAAGCGTTGTATTTACTGATCGGTATCAAATTGTTAATTATATAATGGTGTGGTATTTGTCTGAATTGCACATTGTGATCTATTTCCATGAAGTCATGATAAAAGCATTGCATTTGCAATGAAGATTTTAAATGCCCTGCAGGCCGGGTTGTCATTCATGTGCACCGGAAAAAGAGACAATTGAATAACAGATTTAGTAGCGAAAGAAGAGAATAACGTAATCGATGCAAGCTACCTAAACGAAGACGGCCCCCATGAACTAATGATTAATATTTAACACACAACTTTTATAAACCCATTTTACACTGATTTAAAATCGTTTTCTGGAATATCCCAGCAATTCCAATCAGCATGTAACTATTCGAGTCTGGGCCAGTGGGCCAGGCAAATATGTGGTTGACAACGCAAGCAACAATCAAATCAGTCGGGGCACGGTGACATATTACCAGTCAGGTCACATGTATAGACCACCCAATTCTCGATTTGGTTGCCACTTGTACAACGTATGTATGAAAACTCGAATACGTCGTATTTGCAGACATGTTTCTTAATGGTTTATTTAAGGTGCTTTGGGAATTATATGTTTCACCTGTCAAAATAAAGTTATGCATTTCTTGATAGTCAAACGTGACAGCATAGTAAAAGGCATAAACATGTATTTTTTTTGTAATTGGATTTTTAAAAAAACAACAGTTACAGAAATTGTTATTATACAACCCGAGCTGTATATAAAAGTTACGTAAAGACCAGGACCTTTCCACAATGATTCACGAGAGTTGTTAAAATCTGAATGTCTGCATTTCGTATGGCTTGGGAAAGGGTTTTGTTGCTCCTTTTTATTTAGGAACAGTATTGGTGTGAATACAACCACCAAGTGGATAGCAGTGTGCGAAATGGCCACTGGCCAGCTATCTCGCATGGCTAGTAAAAATCCAGTCGGAACAGTAAATCTCCACAGTCACTGGCCCGACTTTCTAGTGAATTTTTGATGGGGTCATTTTGTAAATCACTCTCTCCGACTTGATAAGTTATAATACATTTTTAAATCATTCAAAATTATGTCATGATGAAAATGGTCATCATATTATCAGTTTAATGATGTAACCCGTGTCCATATTCACATTTCGGGCTAGTGAATCATTCTGTGGGCTAGTTACTTTCAGGCATAGCTATCCCGAATGGCATGCAAAATTTGGAAACTATTTCGCACACTGGTGGATAGGCCATTTGTCTGGAGAGAGCGTTGGTATTAACCCTGGGGATTGCAAAGGTAAGTATATGCGGTGTGGATCTCGCCTTTTGAATATTGGTGTTTTAATGAAGTAACACCCAGTGAAAGTAATATCTTATTATTTCTGTATTACTTTGTTTGGGTTTAGTTGTCTAACGCCGCACTCAGCAATAGTCCAGCTATATGGCGGCGGTCTGTAAGTAAGTAATCGAGTCTGAACCAGATAATCAAGTGATCAACAGCATGGGAATCGATTTACACAATGGGGATACGATGACTTGTGTCAGTCATGACAAGTCAGCTTGCGTGACCAACCAATCCCGTTAGACGCCTTTTACAACAAGCATGGTTCTCTGAAGACCAGTTCTAACCTGGATCTTCACGGGTGTGTATTACGATATGGCAACGTCGAGTCAATAATGAATTCCACTTTGTGTGTATTTGTGACGGGTGCCCTGATGGATAAGAATCAGTATACTAAATCTTGAGCACCTGGTGTCATAACTAATGCCTATGGTATATCTGTTTACAGTCACATTAACGACCCAATGTACCTCGTGGAAGATATCTCCTCAAAATATGCCACAGCGCATGCGCAAATTGCCCCATAGCAACTCCCGATGTCCTCAGGTTAAAACAAGCACATATGAAAACCATCGTCAGTGGATGAGCGATTTGTGTTCTGAGCTACTGAAGTACGTCATTGACAGTGAGAGTGTCGACTTGGAGTATGTGAAAAACTCGCCGACACGGACTCCGGAACGCTGTCACAGAGCGTGTGTTGAAGCCGTACCTCATCATGCCAATAGTATCATGGAGAGGCCAATCCTTATTGGTGATTAGGTGGAATTGGGTGATTAGGTCGAGGAGTGCTTAGGTGAAATCAGAGCGTACTTTAGAAAGTGCCTGTCAGTTGTACGGAGTAGATAATTTCCTGCGACACTGTCTTCATCTCGTTCGTTGTTAGCACTGTGAAGATACTCTATCAATGGACAGAAAGTAAAACATTTTATTCCGAAGGTGTGTTCATTCAATAAAAAAAGCAGAAAATTCAGGAGAAAAAGAAAGGTTAAAACGATTCAAACATGTATTTGGTTTATTGTTCCTTCCAGGCGACATGTGCTCAGATTGTCTGACACTTACCTGATGTTGTCACGGACTCTAGTATAGCAATTTGAATCGAACCGTATATGATTGGGGCCCAATGTTGCAGCAATGGAAAATGTATCACTTTTCTCAAGCCCAATGCGTCTGAGATTATGTCTCATGTTAATATAATGGTGACATTCCAATACACAATGCTGAACTGTTTCAGGCGTGATATCACTACATCGGACACATAGAGGCGATGCTTCCCTATTAACACTTATGCAGACATTTACTGCACAGTCTTCTTAAAATAATTGCATCTCGACAAAAGTGTAACATACTGAGCTGTTGTCGAAAACGTCTTCTGTCTACACAGTGGCATATTTTCCTACCCTCCTGAACGTACACAGATGATGCATACTTGACGCCAGAGGGCTAATGATGATATGTATGATGACGACGACCACGTGCTCTCGTTATTGGCTGAGAGCTCTCTCACCGCAGCCATTAACACAATAAGAACCTTGATGTAATCTTACGGTAGATCCTAATTGCATTTGGTCATGGCATATACAGGGCTTAGGTTGTGTGATGCCTTACGCGTCAAGCAAATAACGCTGTAGAGATATCTAATTTTTCATTTACCATATACTAAAATGACACATTGTTACACATACGCACATTCAGTGGCCGATGCACAACCTTCATGCTTTCATTTTGATTTGAACCTAATAATATTTATAGAAAATACATATGTATCAGTCTGAGGGTTGCCATGGCCTAGAGAGATGAATGTTATTATATAATACTCTGAAAGTAAGTCAATGATGTTGTCACGTCAGCCTTATGGTATTATTTCCAGAAATGACAGTGGTTGATTGTGTTAAAAGCGACCAGGTACTTGGGTGAGGGTGAAGGGATTCTGATATTCATGAGATACGGCAACTTGGAAACTAATCATCTCAGGAATAATTAATAATATAGCAATATATAGGTATCATATGTCTTTTCAAGAGATGATACTTCAAAAACAACCGTCAGACTGTTAACATGAAAATCAAAGTGCTCAAAACAAACTTCTGTAAGCCTCGGCAAAGATTCATCAACTGCATTTCAGTACCTCTGGAATAGTCCGAAAAATCACGATTATTTATTAGTTGGTTTTAGTCAATATTTCGTATCGACAAACGATAAGGCAATTCTTTAATACGATCTTGTTTGCCACTTCAGAGCACGGGCAGCTCTCAGAAACTCACGTATTCTCCTTTACACAAATCAACTGTGGTATTATCGTTCAGTTTTATCTTTGGTCGATTCACTGATGGGAACAGGCGACTGATGAATGTCCCTTAATGAAAAGGCACATTACGGCGTTAGAAACTCGGCAGTTAAACCACTGATGAGAGTCATCAATATATTGTGTATTTGACACCCTGAGACATTGAAATCACGGTAAAGGAGCACGTAATTCAAGAATTAAAATTCTTCATGAAAATAAATTAAACTGTGACTGGAAATAAATATGACTGGAGTTTAAATTTTTTTTTTACTTCAACTCATGACAGTAATAGAATACTTTAAAATGATTGTTAGCGGGATGGAACTTCAAACATCCTCCAAGGGATAATGATCAGTATCTGTAGTTGCTCCATGTTCGGATCATTAATGTATTTGGCTATGTCAATACTCCCAAAGAATAGTGCTGATAGGTGAGGTAACGTGACGTGTTTAAGAATATTGCACTCACATAGCGATGTTCACATCGCTACGAAAACGCGCGTTTGTGTTTGTGTGCATGTGTGTGTGTGTGCGTGTGTGGTGTTATAGTGCTAGCGTCCTCAGATAACATGAATACCTCACTGAGACACAGTACATTAAATCTGAGCTGACGTTTTATCTCCTTAACGCCAAACACAAGACAGGGTATAAACAATTAGCATCTTTAAACATGCATTGGTTTGTACCGGGGATCGAAACTCCGGACTTCCGCTCTCCGGGCAGACCACTAGTGTTCATAGTTCACACGTACGGGAAGATGGCCTTTGTGTTGATATGAGATATTTCAGTATGGTTTTGCAATGAAGTATTTGTAGCTATTTACTGAGTGAGTTGACAATATCTCTGGTAATGGAACCTTTCGAGACCTTCATGAATTAAGGTCTTGCTGGTTGGAGATTTACATTCCCGAATTGAATATTCAATACGAGATGAATGTTTTGTGGACACTCGATGGTTACATTATGTTTTGTAGTTGCCTCCAATATTCCAGCTATATGGATATTCCCCAAGGCCGTTGGTTATTATTCAATCATGTCAGGCCATAGCATTCTGTGGAGCCTGGGAATTTTACTCTATGAGCGTGGTTACATTTCAGAACGTTTGAGGTACAACCGACCATGCTCATTCGACGATTTGCCATTTGCTTAGAGGGTGTTTGATCAAGGTTTCAATATTCAAGGTTTAGCAAAATCTTTCAACAGATGTCATCGTCGTTGCGATGTTCCCGTGTATCATTCAAAGACCCAGTCTCTGGCGTTTGCATGTCTTTATGAGGGGTGCCCTATGTTGGGTTTGATAGGCTCAACTTTTAGTGAACACCTTGTGACATCTTAGGGGATAGTTGTTGACACGGGAATGGATGTTGACGCTTTTGAGTTTTATGACGACAATAGTAAGGTCCAAATTAAGTGTAGTTGATCCACAAGTAATATTTATACTAGTCATCCCAGAGCAGAGCAAACGCGTCGTTTTAGTTCCATTGTCATATGAAAAGAAAAAAGAGACTTACTTTTGAGGTATTCATGTATTATTTATTTTCCAGATTTCATGACCTTCGCCAACCAGCTATTGTTTTCATATGGGCCGTTTTGATGTCGGAAACAAGGTTTTAAAAATAGCCCCAAGTTCCTGTCCGGACTGAGACTGTACCCAGCTCCTCGATGACGAATTACAGTGTGCATCTCCAAGAGACTCAGGGGCTAAGAGTACAGTAGAGTCATACGACCCATATGCAAAAAAAAATGATTATGCCCGGGACTGTGTGAGGACTGGCACTTTGATGCCATGGGTATCAGTTACTTTGGGATATGTGCCAGCCACTTGTTCTCCTGCGGAAGTTCCTGCAGGCCACCATCGTCGCCTGCAGCAGTGCTCCCATTCCATGTTGTACTCACTACCACCTGGAGTCTTTGCTTTGGTGCACACAGTAGGTTGTAGTTGCATATCGTCTCACCATGAAGTTGGTGTGCGCCATGTATGTGTGGTAAAAATGTAAGTGACGCCAGAATATCGGTGTAGACATAGCCGTGTGAACTATTCATGGCTTTGCCTTCAAGCCAGATTCACGTATGAACGAATTCGTGCATGTAATTAAAACGATGTTCTATTTTTAAAAAGACAAGATACCCGTGCCCTTAGTCCACTATATGTGTATATTTTAAGATGTAAGTAAAGTTTTCAAATCGGTAAGTTTGTCAAATATTTTATCAGGAGCATGCTATTTGAGTACGAACAAGCCTTTGACCAAAGTAATTATGCTCTGAAGACAGATCGGTAACTTGAAAGTTAAACTAATAGTTATTGTTCAAGGTTATCACAATGAGTCTAAGCAAGCTCTTTTGACCCGAGTATCTAAGACATGTTCTTGTAAATACAGTACAGATCTGTAAGTTTACATTTTAACTAAAGATTAATTTTTCAAGGTTTTCCCGAGAAGCGGAAGCTAAACTTTGACCAGGGTAATTATGACATGTTGTAAAATAATCACAGACGTATGTTGACAATCCACCTTGGATGTGGTGGTAGTATTGGTTCGCAGAAGGTCACATTGGTCGAAAGAAGTGACGGGTATGGGTCGGATGATCAGGTTCTGTGACTCGGATGACAGTGTGTCACCCTACCCTGGTTGTGCTAATTGTTGCTAATTTTTGCCCGATCCAGACAAACATATTTAATGTTTTACACACAGTGACATAGCTTAAGATAGTATTCCACAACAAACACTAGTTTTACGAACTTTCGAAATCATTTACAACCAGTTTCTTACCATTAAACTCCTCTATATACTAGTATTTGATCATCTAAAAATATTCGATATTTTTTCCGAGACTGAAACAGTGGACAGTTTATTGTCGAGCAAATAGCGTTAGGAGCACAAACTCATATGTCGATATTTAGGCACAAGTGTCGTAAACATAGTATGATATGGGCACGAATAAAGTATTCTGTTTATTACCGAGTTCGTCAATTTGAGGAAAATAAACCCAAATCTACTTTCAAACATAGGCTGGCTACCCGCCGTCGCCGCATGTAGAACACAAGAACACAGAAGAAACGTGATGTCATAGCATTGTTCATGACGTCACGTCACCATGATAAAGTAATATTCAGTGCAGTCCATGTTGAAAAAACACAACTGTCACAAAGGAATGGAATTCTTTGTTTGTAACCCGTTTAGATTATTGAAACATATTTTTTGTTGGATTGTTATTGTCAAACGAATTTATATTCATTAGGTGGTCAGTCATGTAATGTGTATTGAGCTTCACGAACGCAGTTCTCAATATTCCAAAATGATAACTCTATAATTCAATAACATATATTCACATGTTATACCTATCACATTAGTCGGGGATACGGGTGGGACAATCGGCTAATCGTGCCCTCAGCTTTCGCAAAACTGGTAGATGTTTAAGACTCCTTCCGTTGGGGCTTCCCCCCCACAAGCTGACAAACCGCAATATGACTTCATAATGCAGTAGATATGACTCACTCCATAATGCAGTAGATGTGACTCACTCCATAATGCAGTAGATATGACTCACTCCATAATGCAGTAGATATGACTCACTCCATAATACATTAGATATGTCTCACTCCATAATGCAGTAAAGATATGACTCACTCCATAACGCAGTAGATATGACTCACTCCATAATACATTAGATATGACTCACTTCAGAATTCAATAGATATGACTCACTCCATAATGCAGTAAAGATATGACTCACTCCATAATGCAGGAAAGATATGACTCACTCCATAATGCAGTAAAGATATGACTCACTCCATAATGCAGTAATATGACTCACTCCATAATGCAGTTAAGATATGACCACTCCATAATGCAGGAAAGATATGACTCACTCCATAAAGCAGTAGATATGACTCACTCCATAATGCAGGAAAGATATGACTCACTCCATACTGCAGGAAAGATATGACTCACTCCACACTGCAGGAAAGATATGACTCACTCCATACTGCAAGAAAGATATGACTCATTCCAGAATACTCTGTCTGATACGGTAGACAGTATCACCTTGGTTACAGATTAACCTTGTGACTTAGAAAAGGTTATTTGCTGTCTTCTGTTGTTAATAAGACATAAATGCAATTGACAGATCCTTCAACCAAGACACTGTGTCGGGTGATGTGACAATAACGTCCAATCGCTACTTTATCTCTCTGAGAGGCCACCCAAGCCAAACGTTTTGGAATTTCGCTGAATTCGTAATGGTTGCATCTATGTAGACTCTAAAATGTTTCATTTTCCGACCCAAGACTCTTGATATTCTTGCTGTGGTGGTAATGGTTTCTCAGTCAACAAATAATCGATTTGTTTTGGAATAGCTCTGGTTAACATATATATGTTAACAGGTGCTAATGTAATTCTGGTTAGGTATCAAACTGTCTCAATTCCCAATACAGAAAACACACTGTGGCACTTTCAACATTATATGCGTAGAAATTTATTTTGTTTGCGAAATATTGGAAGAAACCATAAACGAATATCGTAAGGCAAACATCATTCTTTGATTGTTGTCATGTAATAGTTTTTTGAGACTAGGAAATGAATTCAAACAAATATTAGTGATATTGTATTCCTTTAATCGTTTTGATGGAGTATAACATGCACACCTTATGGACATGCATATATTTTCTATGGATAAACATACCCTTTTATTTTAGGACGCATATAAATATATGTACATACAGCCTACATATCATGTATTTGTGTATGCGAAAAGTTGTTATATTTACCTGTTTGTACCCAGTTGATTGTTGTTTGTACATTTATAGCAAATTTATGATCCTATTTTATCAAATGTAAATATTGTTATCAAGTTGATTTATTTGTATGAAAACAACGCTACATTTACGCTTGACAGGCTGGATGTAGTTGTGGTACACAGTTAATGAACACTGAAGTCATTACAATGACAAAGTATTGATATACTTTCAGAAGGACGTGTTATAGTTTAATGTGACTGACAGAATATATCCTAAGACTGATCATGAGCGACCAGCGTTAGTACAGAAAACTAATTCAAATGGTATTGTAAATGGTATTGTAATTTGAAGCGTCCCGCTGCACTGTACCACAGGCCATTGTGTCGATGCTTAAAACTTTTCGGATACAATTAAAATCAGGAGTGTAAGATATGCACTATCCCAGATATCTTTACACAAACCAAATTACTCTGCATATGGGATATATGGGATAGCAGGTATGAATATATGGGATACCATACTTCTGACAGTAAAGTTAAGTTACTTGGGAATTTTAAGCAACTACACAAAGGCTTGTCATCTCGACGACGAACGTGGTTTAACCATCGCAGTCCTTATGTGATGCGTCAATGATTAAATATTTGAAAATGTGATCACGATTGGTTGAATTCCACAGCATTTTGCGTACCTGTCTGGTTCACTTGCCCTGGGAGAATCATTCATCGTATCATGACGATCTTGCAATGTTGTTTCAGGTCATGTAGAAGAGGATTCGTATTGACTAGTACGTTTTGTATTACAGTGCTGATAAACTTCATGAATCAAATGGTTTATCAATGCATTTTGTGTAAGGACTGACAGAGTGCATACCCTCATGGCATGGGTCATTAATGAAAGCGAACAATACATCATGTTGCAGTCACATAAACACTAAATATCAATATCAATACAGTTCAATAAAGTGTGAGTGATGTGTTTAGCATGGGCTTAATAAAAGGCAATGTTCATGCAATTGACATTTGTAAGTTCACGAAAAGGTTTCGACCTTGAGATTCTAAATATCAATAAAGAATACCTAACCTCCTTGTTGTCTTTCCATATGTTGTATATATCTGCATTTAGGGTTACCGTTTTTAAACAACATTCATGCTGTCATATGAACGTGTCCACATGTGACAGTCTCGATACAGTGGAGTAACGAGGATATAATCTATGTCACATCACAGTAGACGCCATCGAGTACTGAGAGACCACCTTCTATTCCCTGTATGCTGTTATTGAAGACAGTTATACTAAGGTAGTGACCATATACCACGATCCTAACTCCAAACCTCTGTATGAATCCACAATATACATGGATACTACATGAATCCACAATATATAGAGGATATTATATGAGTGCCCGTGTCATACTATGTTTACGACATGAGTGCCTAAATGTTGGTATTTCCCGAGCGAGAGCGAGTGTCGTAAACATAGTATGATATGGGCATGAATATAATATTCTGTTTATTACCGAGGTCGTCAAATTGAGGAAAATAAACCCAAATCTACTTTCAAACATATGCTGGCCACCCGCCGTCGCCGAATGTAGAAGGCAACGTCACAGAAGAAACGTGACGTCATAGCATTGTTCATGACGTCACGTCACCATGGTAAAGTGATATGTTGCCCTGGGGCATCGTATGAAAAATATGAACCCCGATATTTTCGCCCTGGTAGGTAATAAATAGAGAATACTACACGAGGTCTCATTACATACGAATTATGCGAAACGAGTGTCCTTCCTTTGGTATCTGACCGAGCGAAAGCGAGGTCAGATAACATAGGAAGGTCACGAGTTTCGTATAATTCGTATGTAATGAGACCGAGTGTGGTATTTTATTTATTACCCACGTCTTACATGCATTTAAATTGACAAAATAGCGTATTTTTGTTATGTTTTTGGTTTCAAACCGAAACCGGTTTCATAAAGAGGTTGCGGAAGAGTTTTGTACTGTAGTACAATATTTGCATGACGTCATACTAATGACGTCACTGCCATGGTAACCGACGTCACGATGCATGTCAGTTGTCATCGCCTCGTACAGCCTCCTACAGTAAACTACTCCGTTGCACCTCGTTTCTTGGTTTCCAGTTGCTTCATTCGGTTAACATCACTGGTGGAAACATTGCGTTTATGTTTTTCGACAGATATAATGTCTCAGTTCGACTCACAATTAAACAGCGACACGGCAACGTTCGCAATGTTTACATTCCCACAATGCATTTAAGTTGTAGAATGAATGAATTCACGTGTTTGTTATGAATGAAAAATAGTTACGTCAGAATGTGATCTAATTGAGAGGTCATCGGTTATCCAATCAAATCGTTAGAATTTCAGGTCAAGTCGTTACGACACAGGTCAACGCGATACGACACTCGTGTGACGTACGAGATTAATATGCAACTACCCATACGTTGACCACGTGGGTAATAAACATGGATACTACATGAAGGCACAATATACATGAATCCTACAGGAAACTGATAAGTGCAAGAGACTTAGACCAACCAGAGTTGGAGGCTTCCAGAATGTCTTTACACAAATTCTGGCTGACCGTACAAATAACCGCATTAACCCAGTTTACGTTGACGTTCCAAGCTTACTTGACAGTATCCAACAACAATTCCCCAAGCTTAAAATATCAATTTAACGACAGCATAAAACCTCTAAAGTAATAACAGTTAAATACATACATACACGATGACTTATGTGGGATCTAGACAAGATCAAAGAAGAGAATAACTCTACTATTCCCAAGACTAAAACCACAAAGCATATGTAGGATGTAAATTAGAGATATATTTGAATGCATTCCGTCGTGTTTTAAATAACTGACTAAACTGACGATCAAAAGAAAGTTGTCACCTTAAAATTGCGAATAGTCCCAAAACGGGCGAGAACACATGTTAGTGACTTATGGAAACACTGCATGCGAACACAATCCACCCATTTGCAAAGAACCCAGCTCATGCACACGTCAATGCACGTGCTGCGACCCTAAAACCAAAAGTACGTTTTTCGTTTTTCCATGGAATCTCCATGCAGATACCAGTCTATATATTTCAATCCAAATGGTCACACACTGTCATATCAACCCAAAAAAATCAGAGCGATGCCAAGTTTAAGTGCAGAAGAGAGGGAGAGAGACATTGGCATGGCCATGACGGGGACGCCAAAGACACGTATTGCATGAACCTTTGGATGCTCACGTCAGACCATCACTAAGTTGTTCCAGCGACTGGCAGAACCTGTGACAGACCTCGGAGTGGCAGACCACGCGTCACAACACCCCGGAGAAGATAGATATCTACGCACATTACATCTACGCAATCGGTTCGTGACAGTGACGGAATCTGCAGCAACGACATTGGGTCATCGGGTAAGCCGACACACAGTGAGGAGACGACTGCGTCATGTCGGTATCAGGGCCTACCGACTCTTCCGTGGGATGGCGCTGACCGCCCAACATCGCCTCGCCAGACTACAATGGGCCCGACGTGTACGACGTTGGCAGCTGCGAGAATGGCACCGTATTCTGTTCACTGATGAAAGTAGAATAAATATGTTCCATGCAGACGGGAGAGTTCGGGTGTACCGTTGTAGAAACGAAAGATTAGCTCCAAATTGTGTCGAAAACGTCCATCCCCAAGGAGGCGGTGGTCTCATGGTGTGGGTTGCGATTTGTGATGACCAGAAGACGCAACTCGTTGTTATCCGTGGCAACCTGAATGCACAACGGTATATTGACGAAGTCCTGAGACCGGTAGCAGTGCCATTCTTGCAGCAACAACCATGTGGGACCCTTCTGCAACAAGACAATGCACGTCACCACACAGCAAGGATCACTCAGAACTTTCTTAACAACGTCAATATAGCCGTCTTGCCATGGCCCTCACGTTCCCCCGACAAGTCTCCCATAGAACACCTATGGGATCATCTTGGTAGAGAGTTGAGGGACCAGCCAAACCAGCCAAATAATCTTCAGGACCTGGAGAATGCCTTAAACGATACGTGGCAACACATACCGGCATACGTCATCCGACGGTTGATGTCATCCATGAGAAGGCGTTGTGAAGCATGCATTCTTGCCAGAGGAGGTCACACGAGGTATTGATGCCGTCTCTCAAGTCCCTAGTCACAAGGTTCACAATTATTGGCCACAGTTGCTGTTCCAGGTTGTGTGAAAAAACGACATTTTGTACCCCCAGTGTTTTACATTAACTGCTTACTAATGATTTTATGAGTCCATCACCTCGATATTGTGCAAGATGGATAACACATTAATGAAATATAAATATTTGTTTACATCAACATAACTGGAGTGTTTGTTTTTATTTTATAGTCCACAAAGCATGTGACAACTTTCCTTTGATCGTCAGTTTAGTTTCTACAGATGATATGATTTCTGCAGTTAAAAACTCAAACACTAATTGATGGACCGTGACGTTTAATACGATTAGAGTTGTCTTATTTAATTGAAATAGGTATATTCATATGAAAAATGAAATTGGTCAGCAGTGTTCTGACTATTACAGTTGGAGCATTTTCTATCCACTAAGAGAATAATGTTCCATCTTCTACACTGGATGGTTAAGAGAAGAGAAGATGTTCTGAACCACAACAATAATACACATAATTGCATGGATAACTTATATTAAACTTCAGTTTTATCGTTTATGTCGGGTAAGGTAAATGCCACCCACATGCAAATATGTAACCGAGGGAATATCTACAACTTATGGTCTTGTATTAATAAATGTGTACACGAGTCATTGGCGTGTACTGATCTAGACGGTCGTGTGTATCCCTCCAAATTCATTTTGTAGAAGATCATTCAGCTCATGACACCTCGTAATGTAGCAAGTAACTGAAACAAATAACTGAAGTGTTGGTAAACACATTCATAAATAACAAAGTAACATTTGTACGCTGTTTTAGTTTAGAAATGTTCAATTTGTAGAAAATAGATAGACATCAACCAAACGGTGGTATTCGTGTCAGTTTCAGATATATGACTGACAAAGGTAGAGAAAGGATCGGTAGATTCATTGCACGAATACGCTAACATGCTTGGGCAATACTTACTGATTGATAGGCAGTCATACAGGGCTCCTTGAATAGCAATGTCCAGTCGACAAATAGGTGAGAACGTTCTGGCCTAGGAAATGCTTGATATCACCCCCTTGACATATAATTTACTCTAACGTTTGGCTGAAATGTTCAGGTGAGGCTATCTAGTTGACCTATTAATATACATGATCACAGAAGTACACGTATATTCATATCAACACCCCTGGACGCTTCGTAATAGTATAGGACCGCCTCCGTGGTGTAGTGGTTAGAGCGTCCGCCCGGAGAGTGGAAGGTCGCGGGTTCGATCCCCGACCGCGTCATACCAAAACACGTTAAAATATGGTACTTGTTGGTCCCTGCCTGGCGCTCGGCATTAATGGGTACAACAAGGACTGGTCGGCTCGGAGTCAGAATAATGTGTCTGAGTGGGGTATTCATGCTTCACTGCGGCATGGTATCTCAGTGGGCTAGCACTATAAAACCAGCTTCAGTCTGGGCTAGTACAAGCAGCCGCACATACACATACACACGCATGCACGTCGTCATATGAGCCAAATATTCTCAAGTACGACGTTAAACCCAATTTCAGCTCACCTCGTCACAGTATAGAGGTAATTTACGTTATGTTTCCGCATGTGTACTTAGCACTAAATGAGCAGGGCGCCCGAGGGAAATTAAAGTACTGTCGGAAATAGAAAAAACCCTGTTATTTCACATTTACACCTACAAAATTTATGTAGATAATATATGAAAGTGTGACATATTTGTTAAACTAAGTTCGGCCTAACTATAGTCTCAGTGATAGGGAGATAGGAAACGAAAAAAATTGGACTTTACTCAGGAGAAATTAGTGCACAAATGAGCAATGCGTTTTTTTCTAGTCCAAATCGACTTATTTGGAACAGACCATGGCTTTATGCAAATTAGAGGGCGATGATATTGTATTACAAAGGACACTTTTTAAATACCCATTTTGAAATTAGACTATAAACGATAGCTAACGTAAAAACATAATAACTTTAATACTGAAACTATTAAGGATGTAGCTACCATGGAGTCTCACTATCACTATACAAAGAAACAGGTTGGAGGGGTCGTCTCAAAAGCAATACAAGGACGGGTGTCGGAGACGGTGGTTTGGGGTCGGGCTGGGGTATAGAGATATCAGCTAAGATAAGATAATCCTTCAGGGGAATTAAACTGGGGAAGTAAACGGCATGTCACAACAATTTACAAATAATATCCAGTCCTGTCGATCATCGGGTGGTCATGCCACCTATATATTTTGAGACATTAAATACGATGACTGATTATGCTTTTCTACGGGTATTATACTCTTTTACATATCTGCACATAAACTTTATGAAAGAAATACACGTAATATGTTAATCATCAGATGCGACATATTCAACACACAAGAAAAGGCATCAAGTTTCTTTGAGATGACCCCTTGTGCCTGTAGGCAGCACGTGCATTTCATGTCAGGTGAGTCGATGGTCCGTCGTCATATCTGGCTGAGCGACCTAATTGCCATCTATAGTCTGATCTATTATTTTCAGCAGCTATTCGTATTTTTTCTTCAAAGTTTTGCCTGATTTTACGAGTAAACATGCTTTTCTGGATATCCTATTACGCATCCCACTGAACGCCCAGTTAGGCCGATGTGGGTTATTTCGACATATGCTATTTGCAATTGTGTAAATTTTAGGGATACAGAGTAACAGCCTAAAAACAGTTTTATTCTATTACTCACACGCATAAGAAACGCAAGTTTTTTTTATCTAAATAGGAAACAAACTCGGACCCTAAATTGATATGGGTTTTTGGCATATAGTGAAGTCTGATGGTGTTTTCAATAATTTTTGTTGCGTTTTGGAAGGCCCAAGAAAAAACCCACATCATTAGAAGGAATCACCAAAACGCACCATACCAATGAACATGTGGGTATCATGCACATACTTCTCGTGAAATCCAACATGCACGAATTATCACCACCATTAGTGGGTATAAGACTGCACAAAAATTAGGTCTATTACTCCTTGTTCAACAATGCCAAGCTTAACTCAAATTGAAAGAAACCAGGCTATCAGACGTTCGGAAGCTGGAGTGTCTGCCCAAAATGGTGCCCGTCATTTCGACGTAAACATAACCACTATTTACTGTCTCCAGCATCGATACAACGCCACAAAGACCACAGATGACCTTCCTCGGATCGGTCGTCCAGGCACATTACCCATAAACACCAGCGAGATCTGCTCTTGTCAACCCCTTTACCTTTCGAAAACCTAATGATGTCATCAGTCTTAGTAGCCAATGAAATGTCTTCACTCAATTTTTTTGTCTATCTGAACCTGTTTGCATTTCTTGTGTTTCATATTGAAAATTACATACATATCTGCTTTATACTTGACTTGCGTTACTTTTGTGTGTGAGTATATTGCCGACAGTACTTTAATCAATCACATGTTCTCGTGTAGCAGAGACAAATTAGTAAGCTGTGAGTTATCTGTTCAACCCAGAATAACATAACAGCTAGGTATCTAATAGGTTGTTTTCCTGACCGTTGGACTGCTTGGAGGTGTTTGGTGACGGATACCACAATTTAATATAGGGGATTGGACTGTCGGTCCGTAAAATCATACCTGAGCGTGGGACATGTGTTTGGAATATTTCAAAGTGAAACCGAGTTCATGTCAAATGAGAGGATTCTGCATGTATCAGTTATGCCACTCTCCTGATCACGGCAGTTGTAAAATCTCTTATCTTGTGGGTCAATCACTGGCCTGAATACCGGCTCCTGTCACCTGCCCACAGAACCGAGAAACCTGTGGATAAGGCTTTCTACTATGACCTAGGCGTAACATCTCGTGGCCCTGGTTGACGCTGAAATAAACGTCTGTCCAGCTCGTCTCTCGGATGATAAATTGCTTGGTAGTGCTGTGACCTTGACCGATATTATTTTTGCTTTAAACTCACAAGCTTTCTGGGGACTATCATTCTCATGCTGACACATGACGACAGGACAACCCGAGGACTTTTGACTACGTCACGAAAACGCACGAAATGTTCAGATGCCCTTTACTCTTTCTCGGCCCAGATCATGACCAACATCATTACAGTTCCTCCATCGTCTTCTCATTCAGTCGCCGATGTACACAAGTATTTCCATCTTTTCTGTAAAGAGGGAAGAGTCACTCCATCAATGAAACCAAGCCGAACGGTACTTGCTCCAAGTCCGTTGTGTATATGCAGTGTCTCTGTGATGCCAAACACCAACTCGGCCATCTCATCAAACCACTGGACCCTTCCCCATGACGTCAAATTCCACATTAAGCTAGTTGTGCTGCTTTGTGCTCTGAGGATAACAGTGAACGTTTGATAAGTCGACTGATTCTCTACCCAGACAGATTTAGGCGATGCCGGACAGTTCGGCTGGTTAAACGAAGACATGGAAAATCTCTTTATAACACATCACTTGAAATGAACATTTGTAAGTTGAGGAGGCCCCATATTTGCTTATCAACAATGAAATCAATTGATTTTCCAAGTTATCGAGCTGTTAAAACAGTTTATTGAAACTTGATATTCGCGTAATGAAGGTTGCTCCAGCTGCTCGCCTTTGATCGTAGCAAGGGCTATCAACGTATGGCGATACATACTGAGTATCTGAGGCATACAAACAAACATCATTTTGACGTGAATATACATGGCTACGTGGGAGGTAAAATTCATAGGTGTTGCGATTCACTTGTCCATACGTTAGGTGATTTGTGAAAACGATATATTTCATAAACTAGTAAACGTGGAAATTGCTTTTCAGTTTCCTAAGAAAATACATCATGCCAATGTCAACGCGATATTATCTTTAACAAGACAATAAAAACAGATTTGTTAAACTTCATCCGAACCTAAGATGATGCAGACTATGTATTTTTTACATCACTTGAACATGGAATAATTTCCATCCTCAAAAGATAGTTTTAAAAAAGTATAAAAATATAGGCATATGTTGTGAGACTTTATTATATTCTGTGACATTTGGCAGTTACCTTTATATTTCAGTGAAGCAGTATGAAACCTCATCTCATTTCTTTGGACATTTCAACATTTTATAATAATTAACATATCCTAACAGTTTATATTTAACCTTCTGTTGCAAACTAATGATGCAGCAAGCAGGAATATGATCCGGGATATGGCTTCCAACATGAGATTGGTAACCAGTGTGCCCTTGGGATTTTTGCATTGCTTCACGATGAAGTGTCAGATTGGGTAGCTGAAATGAACACACATCTGTTAATTTGGTGATATTAATATCTCAACATCACCGTCTCGGTCCGTGGGATATTAAATGGAAATGGTGTCAGGTACGAAACAGTTACTGTTACAGAAAACGTTTCTTTCTGTTGATCACACTTAGTGCTACTTTATACATTACACTACTTGAAAATGGTACGCAGACAAGACACTATAGATACTACCAGAATACCGATTGGAAAGATACTTGCATGGACAGACAGTCAATACGGAGTTTTCTCCCTTTTTCCAGAAACGTAGAGATTTCCAAGCAGCTATTCGGAAACATTTGTTGAACATCATATACACGACCGGGTTCACTGCGCTCGAGGAATAGGCCATGTATAACGCAATGTACTTAAAAGCAAATATTCCATTTGGTTTCTGAAAACGAAAAACAAAGTATTCCAATATGTATGCATGCAGCATGGAACTCCACGTAACCTTGTACACCAGCACGTTCACGTATCAGATTGTAGAGGGAATGAAAATCTTGGTCTATTTCTTAACCGTTTTTCGTGTGATTATATATTTACCTCTTTAAGCAGTCAATTGAGGAGACACAGGCACTCACGCATCTACACCTTTAAGGGGACACCGATACACAGGCACACACGTATCTACACCTTAGAGAGGAGGCCGACACACAGACACACACGTATCTACACCTTTGAGGGGAGGCCGACACACAGACACACACGTATCTACACCTTAGAGGGGACATCGACACACAGACACACACGTATCTACAGCTTAGAGAGGAGGCCGACACACAGACACACACGTATCTACACCTTAGAGGGGACGCCGACACACAGACACACACGTACCTACACCTTAGAGAGGAGGCCGACACACACGTATCTACACCTTAGAGGGGACGCCGACACACAGACACACGTATCTACACCTAAGAGGGGACGCCGACACACAGACACACACGTATCTACACCTTTGAGGGGACGCCGACACACAGCAGACACACACGTATCTACACCTTAGAGGGGAGGCCGACACACAGACACACACGTATCTACACCTTTGAGGGGACACCAACACACAGACACACACGTACCTACACCTTAGAGAGGAGGCCGACACACACGAATCTACACCTTAGAGGGGACGCCGACACACAGACACACGTATCTACACCTAAGAGGGGACGCCGACACACAGACACACACGTATCTACACCTTTGAGGGGACGCCGACACACAGACACACACGTATCTACACCTTAGAGGGGAGGCCGACACACAGACACACACGTATCTACACCTTTGAGGGGACACCAACACACAGACACACACGTATCTACACCTTAGAGGGGAGGGACACAGACACACACACCTTTTAAGGGAGACACACACGTATCTACATCTTAGAGTTGACACCAACACACAGACACACACGTATCTACACCTTTTAGAGGACGTCGACACATACGGGGACCTTAGCGGGAACGCCGACACACAGACACACACGTATCAACACCTTAAAGGGGACACCGAGACACAGGCACACACGTATCTACACCTTAGAGAGGAGGCCGACAAACAGACAAACACGTATCTACACCTTAGAGGGGACGCCGACACACAGACACACACGTATCAACACCTTAAAGGGGACACCGAGACACAGGCACACACGTATCTACACCTTAGAGAGGAGGCCGACAAACAGACACACACGTATCTACACCTTAGAGGGGAGGCCGACACACAGACACACACGTATCTACACCTTTGAGGGGACACCAACACACAGACACACACGTATCTACACCTTAGAGAGGAGGCCAACACACAGACACACACGTATCTACACCTTAGAGAGGAGGCCGACACACAGACACACACGTATCTACACCTTTGAGGGGAGGCCGACACACAGACACACACGTATCTACACCTTTTAGAGGGGCATCGACACACAGACACACACGTATCTACAGCTTAGAGAGGAGGCCGACACACAGACACACACACACGTATCTACACCTTAGAGGACGCCGACACACAGACACACACGTACCTACACCTTAGAGAGGAGGCCGACACACGTATCTACACCTTAGAGGGGACGCCGACACACAGACACACGTATCTACACCTTAGAGGGACGCCGACACACAGACACACACGTATCTACACCTTTGAGGGGACGCCGACACACAGGACACACGTATCTACACTTAGAGGGAGGCCGACACACAGACACACACGTATCTACACCTTTGAGGGGACACTAACACACAGACACACACGTACCTACACCTTAGAGAGGAGGTCGACACACACGAATCTACACCTGAGAGGGGACGCCGACACACAGACACACGTATCTACACCTTAGAGGGGAGGCCGACACACAGACACACACGTATCTACACCTTTGAGGGGACACCAACACACAGACACACACGTATCTACACCTTAGAGGGGAGGCCGACACACAGACACACACGTATCTACACCTTTTAGGGGACGCCGACACACAGACACACACGTATCTACATCTTAGAGGGGACACCAACACACAGACACACACGTATCTACACCTTTTAGAGGACGTCGACACATACGGGGACCTTAGCGGGAACGCCGACACACAGACACACACGTATCAACACCTTAAAGGGGACACCGAGACACAGGCACACACGTATCTACACCTTAGAGGAGGCCGACAAACAGACACACACGTATCTACACCTTAGAGGGGAGGCCGACACACAGACACACGTACGTCTACACCTTAAAGGGGACACCGAGACACAGGCACACACGTATCTACACCTTAGAGGAGGCCGACAAACAGACACACACACGTATCTACACCTTAGAGGGAGGCCAACACACACACACACGTATCTACACCTTTGAGGGGACACCAACACACAGACACACACGTATCTACACCTTAGAGAGGGAGGCCAACACACAGACACACACGTATCTACACCTTAGAGGGGAGGCCGACACACAGACACACACGTATCTACACTTTTGAGGGGACGCCGACACACAGACACACACGTATCTACACTTTAGAGGGGACGCCGATACACAGACACACACGTATCTACAGCTTAGAGAGGAGGCCAACACACAGACACACACGTATCTACACCTTTGAGGGGACGCCGACACAGACACACATGCATCTACACCTTAGAGGGGAGGCCGACACACAGACACACACGTATCTACACCTTAGAAAGGAGGCCAACACACAGACACACACGTATCTACACCTAAGAGGGGACGCCGAAACACAGACACACACGTATCTACATCTTTGAGGTGACGCCGACACACAGACACACATGTATCTACACCTTAGAGGGGAGGCCGACACACAGACACACACGTATCTACATCTTTGAGGGGACGCCGACACACAGAAGACACACACGTATTTACACCATTGAGGGGACGCCGACACACTGACACACACGTATCTACACCTTTGAGGTGACGCCGATACACAGGCACACACGTATCTACACCTTAGAGGGACGCCAACATACAGACACACACGTATCTACACCTATGTGAGGACGTCGACACATACGTATCTACACCTTTGTGAGGACGTCGACACATACGTATCTACACCTTTTAGAGGACGTCGACACATACGTATCTACACCTTTGAGAGGACACAGACACACACGTCTTTCCACCTTTCCACACAGCAACACAAGTTCCACTGCATATTTTGTATCACCTCTTTGTGCCGATCCCGATAAATATCCCACAACAAAGTAGTTTGCTGGGGTGTCCAGCAGATGAAAAACACCACAAGAAGCGTCAATGTCATATTCACTGCCTGAAATCCAAGAGACAACGAGCCGTAAATACAATATCAGTGGTGATTCCGCAACACGATAATTCATAGTAAATATCACCCATGAACGTCCAAGTGCATTTCATACAGGTTCAGGTGACCATTTGACTTGCATTGTATGTATTTGTGACCTTGTCACTTGGTGGTATCACTATTTGATAATGATTCATAAAGATATGCTATGTAGTCGAAATACAAGTCATTTTGAATTTTCATTCTGAAACATATTTTAAGATGTACTGATAAATTTGTTCCTGTTGACTAAATGAAAAACACATATGAAAAAAGACATGTTTGCCATTACTTTCATTAGCAGCATCAGCTGCTTTGTTATTTGAGAAACATACGCAATCTGTACCAAATGACGACTTACGTTTTGTCTCATATTTTGTGTTTGGGGTAGACCCATGTTGAGACTTATCCTTCTGTCATGTACCTGGTCAGAAGTCCTTGCCATAGAAACCTGGTGCTCATTTGCAGATTCAGTCCCTGGGAAACTGTTTTCACTCAGCCTTCTGTCATGTACCTGGTCAGAAGTCCTTGTCATAGAAACCTGGTGCTCATTCGCAGCTTCAGTCCCTGGGAAGCTGTGTTCACTGGTCCTTCTGTCATGCACCTGGTCAGAAGTCCTTGTCATAGAAACCTGGTGCTCATTCGCAGCTTCAGTCCCTGGGAAACTGTGTTCATTGACCCGACTCGGCTTCCTTGGAGTGTTCAAAATCGCAAACAATAGTGCAAACATAGCACACAGTGGTATCATGTACATGACCACTGCAAACAAAGTAGTGTAAACCTTTTTGAATTCCTGGGAAGGAAACACATCTTCACAGGCAATTCCAAGTCCAGTAGCCCAGTGGAATTCTACTTGTTTGACATACAAAGCCCACGGGATGGCCACCAACACCGCAGCAGTCCAGATGGCGAGAATCATCCCGCTCTGACATTTCTGAGTGTATTGTAGAAGTCATGGATGTTTGGAAGCAAAGTATCGGTCAACCACGGTTACAGTCAAGGTGAGAATGCTGGCTGATTCGACCGTTACTGAAAAACAAGATTTCTTTTTTTCATTGTTCAGGCATGTCAAACTGATCACTGATTAACTAGGAAACCTTTGTGAATTATTTTGCTAATCAGAATTCAGAGTATTAAACGTATTTGAGCTTGTTTCTAAGAGTAATCTATTAAGTAATCTATTACATTTAATCTGACCTTTCCATTAAAAAAGGGATGGACTATACCTCTTCATTGTATGTACCGCAACCTTCAACAACAACAACAACAACAACAACAACAACAACACACACACACACTTATTCGCTATACACAGCTTCATATAGACCTTATTACTAAAAGTGTATGTGTGTATGTGTTGCTTAACTGCACTCGGGGTTATTCCAGCTGTACGTAAATAATCGAGTTTGGACAAATCACTGATGTGATATTGCCAGCGACAATCCACACCAACTGGCTACGTTGACGCCCCATCACCCAACTCACCGAACTTGAACACCTGAACCACTAAGCCACTATTAACCAACTGTTTATCTCCTGATAACATAACACGGAAATGTGAAGTTTTTACCTTGCACAAAGGCATTTGCTGTACACATAAACGATCCGAGAATCCATTGTTGTTTCAGGTCGCTGACAAGGTGAATCCATGAACAAAACATTATGACAAGGACATCCGCAACAGCAAGGTTAACGACGTAGAAGTTAAATTTTGTTCGGAGGCTATTCGTCCCAGATATCACTACAACGATTAATCCATTTGCACAAAATCCAACTACTATAGTTATAGTGTAGAAACATATCTTTGTGACTTGTTCAAATACAGACTTCTCGTCACTTGGATGAAACAGCAATTCGCTCAGATTTTGATTATTTGTGAGATTTTGTAAAATCAACTCCACATCATCTTCGGTCATTCTGACATTAAGAGAAATGGAATGTTACACAATGAAGTAGAGGTGCATCCCAAACCTGAACGATGTGTGTGAGGTAAATAAAAATACCAACTGGAGGTCCATGAGAACAAGCCTAAGGTGGTCTGATTTAACGATATATCACACCTTCGAATGTCCGAATGTTTTTATCTTAGCTACATACTTGTTATCCTTATCTGTTCTAAATCAGCCAACGTATAATAATACTCCAGCACTGCTAAATATAGTTGCCACATCTGGATTAAGCTTAATCAGTGTATGCCAGTACTGATTGTGACATGGCAGTACTTGGATGTTGTGTTTTTTACAACATTGAGACATAGGTTATGACGACTGGCGTCATCCGGCATTCCTTGATCAGCTGGAAGGCCGGAGTGTATGTAGCTTCTGACGAACACTGAGAAGGCATCTGACATTAACTTGTGCATTCGCCATAGTGATGTAAATATGGACATAGCTACAAAGATACATACTAGTTGGAGAAGGAAAAATAATTATATACACTTCTTTTAAATACTCCTCCTGTAATAAAAGATCTAATGTTATTAAGATTAACAGTATGTGCTTGAATCGACCCAACGTGAATGTTTTCACAGTAGACAACACTCATTACTTAATTAACAGAGTAATTCCCGTCCACTGATTAGTTTCCTCTCCCACTCTTGTTTCAGGAAACAATTACCTCGTTAATTATGTTATGTGGGCAGATCTTAATTAGGTTTGTGGGTTTTATCAGGTGTGGATTTTAGACAAGGTAGGCTGTAACCAAATACCTACGGCGCGGAGGTGGATCCCCACTGTCTGGGCTGAAATCCCACCCAGCCTGTAGCGGTGGCCGTGACGAGTCATGTAAATGTCGAACCTGTATGAGGTGAGGTGAAATTGGGTTTAACGTCGTGCTTGAGAATATTTCGCTCATATGACGACGTGCGTGCGTGTGTATGTGTATGTGCGGCTGCTTGTACGAGCCCAGACTTAAGCTGGTTTTATAGTGCTAGCCCACTGGGATACAGTACAACCAGAAATTATTGAGAATTTAATGATTGTATTTTTTTATATATTTTTCACTCATTACTCACGTATTTAAATGTGAATATTAGCAGAACATAACTCCAGATTCAAAGACAGGTGAACAGGTAGTTTTTGTCAAGTCACCATCGGCAGCAATGCAGGCTTCAATACGGAGGGGCATACTACTGATCAAAGAAGTTAGAAAGTCGTGGTCCATGCTGTCCCAATATCGGACCACCTCTTCTTTCATTTCAGCAATATTTGTCAGATTTTTCTTGTTGACACTTTCCTTCATAAGTTCCCAAACATTTTCTATTGGATATTGGTCAGGGCTATAGCTTGGCCAATCTAATAATGTCATATTTTGGCTCCGAAACCAGGCCTGTTAATGCTTTGAACGATGTTTTAGGTCGTTGTCCTGCTGGAAAATCCAAACATTTCATAGAACACGTGAGCAGATTGAAGTAAATGTCCCTCGAGAATATCTGTGTACCGCACACTGTTCATATTCCCTTCAAATACACAGAGGGGCGTTGCCCCTAACACAGATATGCCACCCCGGACGTTAAATTTCGGACTGTACTTTGAGCGCTGATACACAGGTTTTTCAGTTTGTTTGGTCCAGAATTTCAGTGTATAAGGAAACAGCCACACGGAACTTTAATCTGAGAAAATCACATTGTCCCAGTTAAAATGTCTATGCTTTAAGCACCAGTTCAACCTTCGCTCCTTTTCTTCAGGTTTCATGATCGGTGATGGAATTCCTCGACTTTTCTGCCAACCCATTGCATGCAGTTCAATTCTAATTGTCTCCTTACAGACAACCACAGTTCCTCTATCAATCATGTCCAGCCTTACGTTTTCTAAACTCCTTTGTTTGTTTTTAGAAACAAGTATATCAAGCCGCCTGCTGTCACCGATAGTCAATTTTCTGGGCCTACCTGGGCCTACCTGGGCCTCCCTGGTGCTCAATGCCATATCCATTTGCAATATTTTTCAAAACACGATAAACAGTGGACAAAGGGATATCTGTTCTACTTGAAATCACTTTAACTGATCTGATGTCCTTGTTATAATACTCTAAAAACAACTTTCTCTTCTCTAAATCATCCATACTGAGGATCACTGAAAATGTCGTCTGCTAGCAAGTAAACAAAGTGGGGATTACTATTCACAAATTAATGAAAAAGGATTAACGGAGTTGTCTCTCTTGAATGAAACCAAGCACTTGATAGCTGGTCAAGGTTGTTTATACTAGAAATCTAATTAAACATATTCCTAAAATTCTCAATAATTTCTGGTCATACTATACCATGCCGCAGTGAAGCACGAATACCCCACTCAGACACATTATACTGACTCCGAGCCGACCAGTCCTTGTTGTACCGATTAATGCCAAACGCCAGGCAGAGTGCAACAAGTACCATATTTCAAGGTCTTTTGGTATGACGCGGTTGGGGATCGAATCCGCGACCTTCCGCTCTCCGGGCGGACGCTCTAACCACTACACCACAGAGGCGGTCGAACCTATCCAGCGCTGCAAAGGTGACACGTGGTTGACCAGATCTTGGTAGGTCACATGTTGGCCCCTGCGATTGATAACGTGAGTGAGTTTAGTTTTACGCCGCATTCAGCAATATTCCAGCTATAGGGTCCGCAAGTCTCGCGAGGCGCTACTTCCGCTACTAGATTTCCGGTGACAAGCGAATACGGAAGACCCAGTTGTGGTGCCAAATTGCGCGACCGCCTAATATGACCTTACTAGACCGGACCAAGTGTACTACCATGCTTGGCTGTCACAGCTGGTGACAGTCGTAATAATTGGATCATTTGGGAACGATAAGACGGAAAAATTATTATTCCTTCAAGGATTATCGGTTCCTTACTGACAACCGACAACCATGAGTCAATTCGAAAACATATGAGTACCTTTCTTCAGCTATTATATATTTTTGTCAACCAGTGCAGTTCTATCGCTAAACGTGTTTGTCACAAAACATAGTTCGGGAATCAATGACATGGTTAACGTAAAATGCATTTGAGTAATCTGTATTTATATTGAATTAATAAAACTATTAATTAATATACATGTACTGCTATTCATAAAACAGCAATGTGTTACCAACTTTATCAAGTTAATGTTCTATTCATAATTGGCCACATTGACTCTGTCATTTCCCTTTTCAATTAAAGTATGTAATTCCAAATTAGAATATTTTTGTTCGTTTAATTTGTTATTTATTTTCCAAATACATTTGTTATGCTGCAGCCATATTTTGTAACTATTCCAAATAACTATTTTTTACATATTCAATATATTTATATTTGTTAGGAACTATTTTGAGATCAAATAGTTTCTAACAAATATCAATAGTGATATGTAAAAAATAGTTTTTTAATTTGGAATAGTTACAAAATATTCAATAGAAACAATTAGCTTTATGCAATGTAAAATGCATGTGTATAAATACTTGAGGTACTAATATATATACTTTGTACACTAGTTGGTAGGCTTAATAATTTTACTCTCTTCCAAGTCCAAGGGATGACTGTATGCAAGTTCAGGTGACAGAATGACTCCAAGATGCAAGAAATAAATTGTTTGTTGTTTTGCAAATGTGAAAGAAAATGCATTATAAATTTTACTTTGGATAGATGACAGGGATCTGCATGTGTCAAATTGTTTCTTTGCCATGCTGTAAATATACTGATAATGATATATTGAACGCAGGGATTGGGATGGAGACCTTCGACAATTTCAGGATTATTAGCCATTTTCTGAATTTAGAATGGGCAACTGCCCTTGTATCAATAGTAAACTTCAAAATTTTAATAGGGCATTTTTATTCTAATGTGCAAAATGGCCCCAGTCTTTCCCAATGCCTGGAATAAATTGCAGTTCTTGTGACATTATAATTTTTGTTATAAATATATGAACCTTTCCATTTATGGTGACGTTTTTATTCACACAAGGAGTCATAGTGTCACAAATCAATCAACAGCTCGACAAAATAACCTTGATGGCATGGTTACAATTATTTCGGTTACTACTGTCAGATATTCAAAACAAAAATGTGAAAACCCTCAGCCATATGAATATTCATCATGAAACAATTATTTATCAAATTATGTAAACATTATTTTAGAGGTGATATATAAAAACTGGTTGTTGGACAATATTTATTACACTTTGTACTAGATGTCTTGGAGTGAGTGAACTACGTACTATGATGTAAAGTACATGAGTGTTACTTAGTTCTTGGTTATGCAGGGGTGATGTTCTGCTATGCTGTAAGCAAAATATGAAGCAGCACACAGCACCTTCAAGTCACAATTGGCAAAAATGCAAGACCAAATACACTCAAAATATGGAGTAATCACTCAAAGACATTTCCTGTATTGAAAAATATACTGATCAATACATGGGGAAACTAAATGTGCATATATACTATGTCATGACTGTAGATTCTGCAGACACAGGCTGATAGCAGCATTAGTATGATTACTTGTCATGTAATATAGTGTTTTTCACCCATTTTTTGTAACTTATATATTCAATATATTCTGCCAATGAGGCCAAGGTTGGTAACTGGCATTCCATATTTTCCACTATACAGTGAGACCAATATGTTTTAAAATAATGGAAAAGAATAATGTGTACTGGTTATTGTGCTATGAACCAGTGTTGTAATCTTACAGCAATAAAAACAAAGAATTTCATATTTCAACAAAATTCCATGTCATGTAGAATCACATGCCTATGCCATTGATGAAGTTTAACTTTTCATTGGTAAGCATGTTTTTTCATGGAAACTGGAGTAGTAGGGTAACCTAGTGGTTAAACGGTTGACACTTGTCACACTGAAGGCCCGGGTTTGATTCCCCACATGTGTGCAATGTGTGAAGCCCATTGCTGCTCTCCCCAGCATGATGTTGCTGGAACATTGCTAAAAGCGGTGTAAAACCCAACTCTCTCACTTGGAAACCTTTGCTATATACAATGTACACTGAAAATCTAATCTCCTGCATCCATCTTTGTATATTTACTGTCCAATCAATATCATGGCTAAAAGCAGAAATCTTCCAAACCATTCAATTGTTGCTTGCTTTATCCACACTTAAAAAAACAATAAACAAGTTTTAGAACTATTCTGCAATTTTATTCCAAAGACATAATTACTCATAACATATCAAACATTCTTTGCATTTCCCAGATGCTAAACCTGAAAAAATACTGTAACAGTATCATCTGGAATACAAATGTTCTTTCATGGTTACTCATCTAAATTCTCACTGAATTATCTGAGAGTCCCAAGATGTCACAACACTTTCCACAACACTTTGCTGGTTACAAGCATTTCCTGTTCCAGCAAGTGTCCAAAGGATGATGTGTAGGGCTTTAATATGTTTTATAACTGCACATACAACACTTCAATGACTTGCTGTTTCTTCATTTGCAATGTATATTGCTTGACCACCAGATGTTAAAAGAAATCTGAAGATCTGTTTCAGTTTGTGTTGCTCTTGATGTCAATGGTAATTGTGGTGATAAAGAAATCTATTCCTCATTCTTTCTCCTCTTAAAGATGTGCATCTGTTCCAACTGAAAAAAATACATAACACACGTGAGACCAAGTATGATATACTTAATAAAATGTAAACAGTTCCTTACAATGTTGACATCAAAATATTACTGATAAATTAAGCATGTGGATGTTATGTTTAACTGAACATGCTGCACCATAACCAAATGCTAAATGGGGTTGTAATAATATATTAATCAAGCTCATATTACAGAATACATTTGTGAGAGACACCTATTCAGAGCTATTGGTATCAATCAAAGTGTGGATATAATCATCATTGTTTACGCGCTATTAAAATATTATTTAATTCATTACATTTATTTTTTTAGAATTACACCTAGATTTTCATTGCACATTAAGTTATCTTCTGGATAATTCCAACTGCAAGATACTTTATTTATTAACACAGTTGTTTGGGTACACATGCGTTATACCGGATACCTGCCTGTCATATTTTATTAGGTACCCTCTCCGGGGGACAATAAAATCCCACTGTAAGATATCAAATGCAATCAAACGATTCACCAATCTGCACACATGTCAACTCCACCCTGACTGTGCGTGCCATGCTTAAACAATACCAGCCTTTAAATGAAAACAAAGAAATCCATGTAACAAACTTACCTCGACTAATGAATGGGCCAGCCTGAAGACGACGCTGTGACAACTCTGCATCTGTTTGGCAAATATTCACGTGCAACAGTTACCCCATGTAACAGTGTTATCGCAATTGCCGAAAAGCGTTGTTTGTCACCGGAAGTACTAAATAACGTGATCTCTCTCGCGAAGTGCCGTGACCTACTTACGGGCCCTATATGGCGGCGGTCTGTAAATAATCGAGTCTGGGACCAGACAATCCAGTGATCAACAGCATGAGCATCGATCTACGCAATTGGGATACGATGACATGTATCAACCATGTATCAACCGAGTTTGATCACCTGATCCCGTTAGTCACCTCTTACAATGTGTGTGATAACGGCTGTTCGAACCATGGTCTTGGCGATACGCGGAAAGAAACGCTCGCAGCCGAGACGCCTGTATGCAGTCGACTGATGATGTTAAGCTTCTGTCAGTCGGGGCATGTTTTCACTTATCACTTGCTATATAATTGTGATAACAGGCAAATGAAAACCCGTTATTTCCATAGCCCAACAATTCATGTTGAACGTTCAATTCATGATGATGTATTCGGCCGTCCCACTTCCACATAGTTGTGATTCTTGTGTTTCCCCACTTTCCGCTGTTATTTTTACCCTACTTTATTCATGCAAACATAAGAAATTCATATTTGGTATCCATATTGTATAAATACCAACAAAATAACGTCACATATTTCTAATTACTCTTTTACGCGTTTCTTTTTTTTTTGCAGAATACATTTGGTAAATTGTGAATTAAGATATAATACTAAGAGCATGAGATGTTCCCTCATTTTCGAACGGAGAAAATGAAAATTTGTCAAAACATTGCCGGTTTGCTGGAACTATTTAATCAAAGCTAAATAGCAAAGATACCGGATACCGGGATGATGCACAGTCATGAACATGTTCCTTGGAATATACCGCAAGGACAAGACATGAATACATTGTATCTGCAGATGTACGTGAGCGGAATAGATTCATAAATATAATTTCATGCCCCAAATAACAACCAATCGGAAAAAAAGCTCAGTTGACTAGTGGAACTCTGCAAACCCCAGGACATGCACCTAGTTATATCCTTTTCAGGTTAATACATTGTATTTACAAAATTCCAAAGAATACATTGAATCGTAAGATGAGTGAGTGAGTTTTAAATCATAAGGTGGATGTATTCGTGAGCCGTACAGTTAAGCAAATTATGCACGATGTAAGTTAAACAATATTGAAGTACACCGTATTCGTTTGTATTAACAGCGCTGTCATGATCAAGATCAGCACGTTTGTGTCCAGCAGTGTTTCATGTAGCTGGTGATGAGGATGGAGTGATACTATTTTGTTTCTATTCCTCTACTTAGAGTTGAGTTTTGCGCCGCTTTAAGTAAAATTCCAGCAAACCCACGGCGGGGGACACCAGAACATTGTAACCCTGTGGGGAATCGAACCCGGGTCTTCCGCGTGACGAGCGGCCCTTTAACCACGAGGCTGCCCCCCCGCCTCGAATCGTAAGATGATCAGATACTCATTAATAGTTCTTGTACAATTTAAAAGAAGTTTTTAAGAACAAAAATAGGCTCTTCTAATTAAGAAGGGGCTTATGTATTGTGATCCTTTACTTTTCAAATCAAACAGTCGTTCGGAAAAGGTTTGGGGGTTTGGGAAGAAATCATATGTCGCTTACGGAATCACTGATAAAAAGTAATTCGGCTTTCGAAACTTAGATTCTGCTCGCAGTCAGGAATATACCCTTATGAGTCATCTTCATTACCGCCATGTCAGGTGAGCTTTGATTTTTTTATTCCAAATTTTATGCTGTATATATAAGGAGAAAGACTGGTGATCAAGGTAGAGTTTCATCCGTGTAGGTTCCTATTGCATTTGTCGGCCAGACATCAGAAAGTTAACTTTGAACAATGTCACAGGCGATGACGCTTCACTACGATTTCATTCGTTTTGTTCTGTGTGACATTAACGGTACATCACGGGGACAACTTGTTCCCATCCGGAATGCAACGCAATATTTTCAACATGGAATTGGAATATACCAAGGTACGATACTTTCCATATGACTGTGGTTAAACACGTAAACATACCTCTCAAACCGTTCAAGTCAGGTTCAATTGATAGCTATAAAAACATGATTAAATCCTCAGAATATGTGGGAACAAGTGTTTAGCGACATGTCAGTTAGTCCGATGACAGCAGGGTTAATGTTTCTTGAATGATCTGAAATGGATAAAAAGATTAAATATCTACCCCCGAAAATAGTTTTGGAATAATATAAACATATTTTGTTAGGGAAACTGGTCGCACCTTAAAGCGTTTGGTATCCAGAATTAAATGTTGACGTGTGTATATAATATTTCTCCTTGAAGTCGCAGTCCTTTGTTAAGATACTTGTCATAATAATGGTGAACTAGTCAGGTTAACTACACGTGTGTCTAATGATACAAGTCAAATTGAGGAATCTGACAGGGTTTGAATTTGTTGCATTAAGAAATGCTGCATGAAGATAAATTTGAAAGAAAACTGCCATCAAATAATACTACACATTTATAAAATTAATGATATTGGTAAATTTTGATCTAGCATCTTGTTGAACAAAGGTAGAGAGTCCCGAAAAGGTTTGCAGCAAAATAGACCAGGGCAGGTTTACTATATTGGCTCTAACAATTCGTCGTCTGTTCGACATGTTGTTCTAAATGGTACCAAGTGTGTCAACGCTGTCTTCAACACTTTGTCCCCTACACTACCGCCTGATGATATAGTTCAAACGTCTTTTAAGTCATTTCATCGGGGTGTCTGACAGACTCCCTTGAATAATTTCCGTAAGATTGATATCATGCTTCCTTTCTCCTAAGTCGGTCGTGATCGTACACTATGTGTATTACTTTTGCCGTGCTCACTTTCGCGTGAGCAATCCAGTATATGGCTTTGATGCATTAAACCTCTTTCTCATTGTCACCAGGTATTCTCCGTGCCGTACCTTCAGGTAGAATTGTACCTCTATCCTCTAAGTATCCCCAGACGTTGGGAAATATACAGCTGAAGCCTTCACAAGAAACGTTGCACCCTGTCACATGGATGGGCGGGCAAGACCATAGAATTGGACAGGTGATATGCGAGACAACCTGGGATCTAGATGCTTCTCCCCAAACCGCATGCCCCAGGTATGTTGCCAGAAAACAAATTGAACGTCTTAATGAGATGGGGTATGACATCCTCTCGGGGGTGGAAGTGGAGTTTATGCTTTTTGATCAAGTTACAAAGAAGCCAATTTATGAAAGAAGCGGATACTGCAGCAATAACATACTGAATAAATTCAACCATTTCTTCATGGATCTAGACGTTAAAATGCAAGCTGCAGGTGTCGATATCGATCGGTTTCATGTTGAGAACAGCCCAGGAAAATTTGAGGCAGTTTTAAAACCCAAGAATGGCATACACAGCCCTGACATGGTTTTTAAGTTTAAGGAAGGTCTTCTGGAAATAGCTGATCAGAGGGGCTATGACGTTTCATTCATGCGGAAAACAGAATTAGGAATTGGTGCATCGGCGCATTTTAATTTTTCCATCTTAAAGAAAGATTCAGGTGAGAATGTTTTCTACGATGATCACCAAGAAAACGGTCTATCAGACTTCGCCAGGTACTGGATAGCGGGTTTGCAAGAACATCGAAATGCAGTGTGTGCAGTTTCATGTCCAGATGTTACATCCTATCGGGTTCTTCACAACCATGTATTCGCACCGTCCTCAGCTGATTGGAAAATTGACGGCCGAGGGGCTATGCTTCGAGTAAAGAAAAACGGAAATCACCCATATATAGAAAATAGGCTTCCACCATCATGTAGCAACCCATATCTCATTTTGGCAATGATGATAGCCGCTGGATTGGATGGTGTTATAAATAAGTTAGACTGCCATTCTGAAAGAACAGCTTCTGGAGATACAGACCTCCCCAAAACGTTATCGGAAGCATTAGTCGGACTTGAATCTGATTCTGCTATCGTTGAAGCTCTTGGTGAAGAAGCAGTAGCATGGTTTGTGGAGGTGAAAAGAGAAGGGGAGCTGAAACTGTTTAAAGGAATAACCGATGAAGATGTTGCATTACAAACAGAGAAATATTTGTATTTTTGATTTTTGAACATGTCACTGGATTTCGAGTCTACATGTATACAGAATACGTTATGGGGTCGCCATACTGCTCGCAGCAGCCTCTCCACTTGTTCTGAATGTTTATACACCAGAATACTGAAAGCAATTGGAAACTGCCTTTCTCCGGGAGTCATGGTGCTGTTTATGAAACCCCGTGTTCTCTTATACTCTTCACGGTCATTTGTCAGGGCAGGGTAAATTTCAGGTAAATAGCTTGAACGAAACTCCTTGGTCATAATTAGGGCTCCTTGCCACAAGGCAGGAGACCTATTGGAATCGTTAATGTTTTTATTATTTATTATTCCGCCGTATTTTGTACCAGTCCTACAAAAAGCACCGCTGGACAGAATCGCTTGAAAAAAATCACCATGGTGCCGACAGTGCTGAAGTTGTTTCTGCAAAAATCTCAAGGCTCTAGGCCCAATAGCAAAGGGGAGATAATTCAAAATTAATTCAAAATTTTCAATTTCCAAAGCAATAATCTCCGAAACTACAAGTCCGATGACTACCAAATTTCTGGAGCAGGTCTGGAATCCGATTACCTTCAATTTCAACTGCATGGGGCTACGAGGCACCGTTTGGCCGCCATATTGGATTTAAGGAAATTTCACGTTTTTGACGGGTAGGCATTTCTGCAATCCATAACTCTGAATGTATGATGTCAAGAACTTTGCACAATTGCACATATAGAGTATATACCTCAAATATGAACATCCTCGAGCTACGTTGCGATATCTTGATTAGTTACGGATATCTAGATTTTTGGTTTTGTTGTTTATTTTTTTACTAAACTGTATCTTTAAAGAATCGCAGCGTCATTACTATTTCAACTACGCGGCTAGAATCTGGCAGCATGCAATATCTTGATGCGCTGAACAGGTTTTGTTCTTTGGTGCATATCAAAATGTGAATCGTTTGGCGGCCATATTGGATTTCGGCCCATTCTGGTGACACTACTCTAGAAACAGCTTAGAAACAAAAGACATGAAAATTGGTACAATGCATAAGCGTACAATGTTTAACATTTTGCGTTCTTAGATGCTTATCAAAAACTGCGTCGTTTGGCGGCCATATTGGATTGAATCTTACACACATGGATTTACAAAAACAATCACAGCGTCATTACTATTTCACCTACGCAGCTAGAATCTGGCAGCATGCAGTAACTTCATGTGCTGAACATTTTCTGTTCTTTGGTGCATGTCAAAAGTCACTGCAAGCGCTACGGCGTTCAACATCATCCGTGTGAATACAACGTATGGGAGGTAAAAGGAAAAAATACTGTTTGAGACGAGCCCCAAATGAAAGAAAAAGAGTGTAAAGCAAACTGACCGAAAACTCGAGGCACACCACACCAGAAATCACTAAAACAGACTATTAACATCGTACCAGTCATCATGAATGATACTTACACTCAAAACCCCAAAGTTTGGACAGATTTAATGAAATAGGGACTTCTTTATATCACCGACTGCCCAGGGATACATTGCCGAATGTGTCATAAGTTTCATCGACATTTACAGCACAGCAGATTACCCGTGCAAAGCATGCGACAGTCTGAAGGAAAGCGCAAGGACGATATCTCCTATAAAGAGACTACCACTGCAAAGCGTGGTCCACGTGCAGATATGGGAGACGATGTCAATTTCAATTGACAATGACGAGAGCTGTCCAGCGTGAGCGGGTTAAACACAAGCTAAACGATACTGAAGTAACAAATAGTATGTCTAAGTGTATTTTCAAAGACAACAGACGGACAAGTGAAATTCTATTTTCCTCACTGTATAGTTTCTATCTTTATTGGTTCTCTAGAGAGCGCAATGAAACTTTGCAGTATGTATCTCAAACGTTTGCTGATCATTTTCTGTTCATGATGAGAGCATAAACATGTGATTCTTTCCGTCGAATGGCACAGGTGTTATGTGCCAAAAACCCAGAGCGTTACACAAAATTAAAATACAGTGCAGTAGAGGTGTTATATCTTCATTGAAATTCAGTCTTTTGTAAGGGGTATGTGTTTAGACAGCTTTTAAAGACTGTCAATGAATGAGCGTTCCTGGTCATAGTAAAAGTTGTAGCTGTGGTCTAAGAGGGGTAACTCTGGTCTAGCTGAAGGAAGCGCTAGTAAAATATTTCCACACCCATCACTCGCCGGCTTTGCATGGATTTTAAAACTTCATATGTGACCTTTATTAAGCTGTTAGGTGTATTTCCAGTATATATACCTGCTCTCGATTCACTATTCATTTGCAACAGTCCGATTGTAACAGTGTAATGGATACTGATACAAAACTACTGAAGTACCTTAACTGCTGTGTAATCACAAGTTCACTTGCGTGAGCGTGAGTGTGAGTGAGTGAGTGAGTTTAGTTTTACGCCACACTCAGCGATATTCAAGCTGTATGTCCGCGGTCTGTAAATAATCGAGTCTGGACCAGACAATCCAGTGATTATCAGCATGAGCATTGATCTGTGCAATTGGGAACCGATGACATGTGTCAACTAAGCTCAGCGTGAGAGAAACAGTGTTGTGGATATTGGTACATGCTACACAAATACAGAGTACGGGCGCTTTGTGTCCCATTTCAACTTGGCTGTTGTTGATATTTTAATTGAAATTGTATCTACACTCACCCAAAAATAAACACCATAAACAACCACATTTTCAGTAAAAAGAAAAAAATTATTAGCAATTGAACGTGCATTATTCTTTTTCCTTCGAATCTCTAATCAAGCCAACAGCTGTTTCCAAAGCCATAAGTGCAATTACCCATACCATACAACACAATCCTTTGTTTCTAATCCTAAAAAACATAAGAATTCAAGGTTTACTACTGAAGTATTTCTCATTACTAACAGTGATATGATCCATATCAGCTATAGCCTTTACTGCTTTCGACATCTGCATGACAGGTACCAAATGGCTAGAAATTATCCAATCCAAGGAGCCCTCAATGTTGCTCGCAACTTTAATTACGTTTGCTCTTTTTATTTCGTCAGCATCTCCCACCACGATCTTCTTACAGTAAATACCGTGTGTGCCCCGTGTTTGACTATACGCCGAGAAGTAGGCGGTGCAAGGCAATGAAAGGTTTGGTTTGTGAAATGTAAAGCAGATTTAGGCTAGTGCACGTGCATTGCATGACGATGAAATTGATTCCGCGCGTAGCTGCACACGCCTTGCTGATAAGACTCTCACGTCGGTGTAGCAAGTCGCACTACACTTGATCGCGGACAACCTGGGACCCCTTCGCTAACAATGGCAACGGCACTCATACATACTAATACGGGTCAGTTGTCAGATCGGTGCTCAACTTATCCTTGTTTGCCAGTATGATTGTATCGTTTTGTTAACATCCAGATTGACATTAGTATGTTTTCTGATGAAACAGCCTATCGCCCAAACGCACCTAAAGAAACAGACGTAATAAAAGGTTCCATATGACATTCGTGAAAATGAAACTGCACATGCATATTGTGACAACCCAACCATTGAAAGCGAGTCCCAAACTCGCCTGAAAACATTCTTGTTTTGACACAGTCGCAGGCCCGTAACACCGATGTTAGAAGCGGGCCGGGGTGGGTGGGTGGTGCATTTTGGTAGCTCAGGGTGTGGTGTGGGGTTGAGGGGGAGAGAGAAAGAGATAGTATTAAAGTAAACTTTAGTGTCAGAAAATACTACTATTTTAAACTATGGGTTAGCATGTTTTTTCAGATTCATTCATACATCAAACATCAGAATTATCCAAATGTGAACAACCTGTATTCACTTCTTCTCACAAAGTCATTTGCTATATCTCTCAGGTTGAGGTTGTCTGTTTTGTCCCTGTGCACATGAAGGACCATCAAGTTGTTCAGACGCCTTTGGGCCATGGTCGAAATCAGATATGTCTTCAATCTCCTAAAGCTATTGAAGGACCATTCACTCGTTGCCTTTGTTGAGGGCATTACTTGGATGAGCTTTATAACAGTGACAACTTCAGTGAAGATACTGACACATGTCGCCTTCACGTGGGCCGTCACATCTGAGACATCAAACTCTTTGCTTTTCGACATATTCACTGACAAAATATTCAGCTGTGTTTCAAAAGCGGAGCTATTAATATCTGATCCTTAGAATTTGGAAACAAAGTCAAATGCGTTTGTGTAGTCATTTCCTGCAGCAGCATTAAGGAGTATAGGTTCAGGTAGAGCATATAGCCAGGTTGATTAAACCTGTCTCTGATGCAGCTGGTGAGCAAATCTAGAGCCGTAAAATATACTTGTCTGTAATACTCCTCTACTGTCTGAGGTACATGGGGATGTGCTCCATCACCTATTCTCTTGGGGGGCCTTTTCGTCCTTGGTAGAACTGGCCCAGGCACATCAAGTTGTGTGGCTTTGATGTTCTGGTTTCGAAAGAAGAGAGAGAAGTGTTCATCGTTTCTGATGAGGCTTTCTAAGACAGCTAAGGTTGCAGAAGCCATCTGCTGTGCAGCTGATATGTTTCCCTGGAGAGATTTGCTGAGATTGTCATTGTTTCTCAAAATGCGGACGGCTAAGTTTGCACCAAAGAGGAAATTGAGATGCATTTAGAAGTTGATGAATATATAAGACGAGTATATGGATGACAACTTCTTCTTTATTGTATAACACGACGTTTCTGGGCTACTTCTTGCCCCTTCTTCAGGTGATATAAAGACATACTATACACAAAACATACTATATATACCAGAATTTACAGGAAGCCACAGAAGTACATGTATATACAATGAATCAGAGAGGACCGGTGAAAAGCAGTATAAAAACAATGATAATAGGGATAAAGTAAAGCCAGTTGACACAAACAATGAGGATAAGGAGATGTGAATACAGCTAATGAAGTGATAATTAGATTTACAGGAAGCCAGAGATGTACATCTATATACAACCAATCAATGACGACAAATCAATTAGAAGTTATAAAAACAATGTTGATAAGGAGATGTGTACACAACAGGGAT